GAGGAGGAGGAGGAAGTGGAAAGGAAGTGGAAGAAGATGGTGGTGGTGGTGGTGGTGGTGGTGGTGATGGTGATGATGATGTTCTTGTTGAAAGAAGGGGATCAAGTTGAGTCCTGGTGTCCTCCGTCTCTGATCTCCTCCCCTTCGTTCCATGTTGGCGTTACTCTTCTATGACGTGAGAGGAACGACATGTCGACTGATCTTTCGCAGATCGTCTGAGTTCTGAGCGGAGGCGATGCCGCATGCCTGCCAGCGGTGCGGGGTGAGCAGCAGCCGGAATGAAGACATGTAAGTTGCTCGTGAAGCTGCCCTTCAGGTACCAGTGGCCTCAGGACCAACTCAAGTCAACGTTTGTGTGAGTCTCGACCTCTCAGCTTCGACCCCCTTTTACTCCACTCTCTCCTCTCCTTCCTCCTACCTCCCCCCCATGCTCTGTCGTGCTGCATGTCAGCTTCTCATCTTCATCTCCTTCCCCTCCTCGGCTGTCGCTCTCCCTGACTCTCTTGCAGTCGGTCTGTCTCTTTGTCTCCTCGCCTTCCTCTGACTCTTGTGCCGCTTTCTCCTCCTCCCTCGCATCCTCAGGGGGTAAGCATGCTCTCTTGCTGCTGCTGCTTCTCACTCTCTTTCTTCTCCCGCGCTCCTCTCTTCTTCTCGCTCGCAGGACGTGAGTCTCTTGACCTCTCCTCGCTTCCCCTCACTTCTCACAGTACCCATGGTGGAGCTGCTGCATGTGTGCCGCAGAGATGGGATGGGGCGGATGGGAGGAACGAGCATGCCAGCATTGCAGGCTGAAGGTGACGGGGGAGGACGCGACGATGGAGGAGGAGCAGGAGCAGGAGCAGGAGCAGGTGACGCGGACGACAACAAGAGGTCAAGCAAGGCAGGAGGCGCACGGCCTCTATCAGAGCCATGAGATAGTGAACGTATAGGAAAGAGTTAGAGGGAGAGAGGAGGGGGAGGGGGAGATGAAGTGAGGAGAGGGGAGGGAAGGTTGATGTGCTACAGATTGGAGGTGGGAGGACTAGGAGGAGTAGAAGGAGGAGTAGGAGGAGCTGATCCATAAGTTGGTTCACTTCACTGCAAATAAGACAACCTCTACCTAGCAAGGGTCTCTCACCGCATGCTCGCTATCGGCGAGCGCTGCGTTTCTCTCCTCGCGCCTCAGCTTACATCACTCCCTCGATGCGGTCCTCCACGTCCTGGTAGAGCTCGCGCAGGCGGTCGAGGTTCTCCTCTGACGTGTCCCAGTAGCCTCGCCCGTTGGCCTCGAGAAAGGTCGTGATCATGTCACGGAAGGCGTTGGGGTTCGTCTCAAGCAGCCGCTGCCGCATGCTCTCGTCCTTGATGAAAACGTCGTTGGCGTCCTCGTAGATAAAGTTGTCAACCTCCCCAGCTGTAGCCGACCAGCCCATGGTGTTGCGCAGGCGCTTCGTGATCTCGCGAGCGCCCTCGTAGCCGCTGTTGAGCATGCCCTCGTAGAACTTGGGGTTGAGCAACTTCGTGCGCGCGTCCAACCTGACGGTCTCAGAGAGCGTGCGAACCTGAAGGAGAGTTAGAGCAGGAGCAGATATGTGAGAGAGGAGGAGAGAGAGAGAGCAAGGGGAAGAGATATGTACCTGAGCGTTAGCAGTGGTGGTATCGGCGATGAAGGACGTGGGCTTCCTGCCGTCCTTGCGGAGGCCCTGGACGACCTTGGTGGGGTCGGAGTCGAAGTAGTGGGAAACGTCGGTGAGGGAGATCTCAGACGAGTCCAAGTTCTGGAAGGTGCAGTCCACCTTGCTCAGGGAGCTCTTGAACACTTCCTGCGCCTGCTCCATCATGCCCGGCTTGTCCGCGTTGAACGCGTAGCCCTTGCGGGAGAGGAACTGCTCCTGCAGCTGCTGCTCTCCCTCCCATCCTCCGTTCTCGATCGCAAGACCCACGTTGGCACTGTAGCTGCCCGCAGCGTTGGAGAAGACGCGGGTAGCAGCGTCACGGAGGGAGATGCCGAGCTCCTCGGCCTGCTCCTTGGCGTGCTTGCGGACGAAGTTCATCTCGAGAGGCTCGTCAGCCTCTGCCGCCATCTTGACGCCGCGGTCGAGCAGATTCATCTGGTTGATGAAGAGGTCGCGGAAGACGCCCGAGCAGGAGACGACCACGTCGACGCGGGGCCTGCCGAGCTCCTCGAGGGGGATGAGCTCGAGCTTGTTCACGCGGCCAAGGGAGTCGGGGACGGGGCGGACGCCGACGAGCTGGAGGACCTGAGCAAGAGACTCGCCGTAGGTCTTGATGTTGTCGGTACCCCACAGGGTGAAGGCGATGGACTCAGGGTACTTCCCCCGTTGTCAGCCGCGAGCCTCTCCAGCAGACGGTCAACAACGACCTTGGCGCAGTCAACGGCGGCGCTGGTGGGGATGGACTGAGGGTCGAGAGCGTGCATGTTCTTGCCGGTAGGAAGCACGTCGGGGTTGCGGATTGGGTCACCTCCGGGCCCAGGAAGGATGTACTTGCCGTCGAGAGCGCCGACGAGGCCTCCGAGCTCGTTGTCGGCCACCACCTGCTGAAGGCAGAACTCGAGGTACTTGAAGAGCGGCGCCATGGCAGAGTCCTCGACCTGGAAGCCCTTGGCCGAGAGAGCCTTCTTCCATGGGGTACCACCGGTCATGGAGTCGAAGACCGAGGCCATGGGGTTCACTGCCTCCACCCGTCCGTTGATGTTGGTCGAGCGCTTGACGAGAGCCCTGACGGCCTCCCTGACGGCCTCGGTGATCTCCTGGTTGAGAGACACGTCGGCGAGGACGTTGTTGTTGTTGTTGCGGTAGATGTCCTCGATGTCCCTCCCGCGGCTCTCAGCGATGATGCGAGGAAGCGACTTGATTCCGTCCTCCGGGCGATCGATGGACGCGATGTTGACCAGTGTTGCCACTGACTCCTCGGCGGTGGGGGGGACGCCGACGGTGTGGAGGCCGCAGGGGAGGAGACGAGACTCGATCTCCATAAGCCTGCGGTAGACGGCGCCGACAACTTTGTCGCGCTTGTCGAGGGTGAACTCCTTGGCGTCCTCCTCCTCGGTTGGCAGGTCCGTGATGTCCTTGTCAAGGTTGCACGTGCGGGCGGAGGCGACGATGGAGTTGACAATGCTGGGGCCCCTCGCCTCGTTCTCGCGAAGACCCTGGTAGGAGGAGACGAGCTCTCCGAGCTCCTTGAGCCCCTTGTAGAGCCCGGCGTTCTCGGCAGGAGGAGTGAGGTAGGAGATGGTGGCAGCGTAGCTTCTTCTCTTGGCGATGGTCGCCTCCGAGGGGTTGTTGGCCGCGTAGTAGTAGATGTTGGGCATGGAGTTGATCAGACGGTCGGGGTAGCAGGAGCCAGACATGCCAACCTGCTTGCCGGGCATGAACTCGAGCGATCCGTGGGTACCGAAGTGAAGAACGGCATCAGCCCCGAAGACACGCTCGAGGTAGGTGTGGTAGGCGGCGAAGCCGTGGTGGGGGGAGGCGCTCTTGGAGAAGAGGAGACGCATGGGGTCACCCTCATAGCCGAAGGAAGGCTGAACGCCGATGAAGACGTTGCCGAACTTCTTGCCGTACACGAGGAGGTTCTGACCGTCCGAGTTGAGCTGGCCAGGAGGCTTGCCCCAGTTCTCCTCGAGCTCGGCAGCGTAGGGAGTGAGCTCCTTGTACTCATCGACGGACATGCGGTACTCGACGTTGAGGTAGGGGGAGCCAACACGCGCCTCCTTATCATTAAGAACGGCATCGATGAGCTCCGTAGACGACTTGGGGAAGTCGCCGAGGTTGTAGCCCTGACGGATGAGCTCCTGACCGACGGCGAAGATGGAGGAGAAGACGTCGAGGTAGGCGGCGGTGCCGACGTTACCCTTGTCGGGAGGGAAGGAGAAGATCGAGATGGCAAGCTTCTTGTCCTTGTTCTTCTTGATCCTCAGGTTGGCCCACTTGATCGCACGCTCAGCGAGCAGGGAGATGCGGTCAGGGAGGGGGACAGTGCGTCCGGTGAGGCCGTCGCGTCCTCCGTAGATAATGGGCTCGATGGCTCCATCGATCTCAGGGAGGGAGACCTGGAGGGCAACCTGGATGGGATGAAGTCCGAGCTCGGACGCCTTCCACTCCTCGAAGGACTGGAAGACCAGAGGAACAGCACAGAGGTAGGGGCGGTTGAGCTTCGACAGAGTCTCGACCGCCTTGTCGTGGTCCTGGGACGCGGGTCCTCCGACGAGGGCGAAGCCGGTGAGGTTGATGACGGAGTCAGGGACGACAGCGCCGTTGGTGAAGAACTGATCAACCGGGCCCGAGAAGTCGAGGCCTCCTGAGTAGATGCACATGACGCGGCAACCGCGGGCCTCGAGCTCCTGGATGAGGGAGGTGTAGTGGCACTCGTCCTTGGTGTTGATGTGCGACTTCTGAAGGATCACTCCCACGGTCGGGGCCTTCTTGGGGTCGATGCCTACAGAGTTTGCGTGCTCCTCGTTGTACCACCTGTTGTACTCGGTCGAGTCCTCGAAGACCTTGGGAGCAAGGGGATGCCAGATGCCGACGTCGGGGAGGAGGACAGGAGAGGCGATCTCTTCCTCCTTCACCATCTTGCCGTCATAGACATAGGTGTTGGCCATGTTGAGAAGCATCGACTCCAAGTTCTCGGGGGATCCTCCGAGCCAGTACTGGAACGAGAGCATGAAGGACCTCGCGTCCTGCGCCTTGTCGGACGGCAGGAACTTGAGCACCTTGGGGAGGGTGCGGAGGAGCTTGAGCATAGAGCCCTCGAAAGAGGCTCCGTCCTCCTAGGAGGCCATCAGATGCGAAGAAGGAGGAGGGCCAAGTCTTACCTTCCTCTTCTTCTTCATGAACTCACCGATGACGGACTTCGACTGTCCCATCTGAGCCATGGTGAAGGTTCCGACCTGCGTCCCGTTAGAACAGCTAGGAGACGGCGGCAGAGCCTGACCTTGTTCAAGCGCATCACGTCGGGCATGGACGGGAAGATGAGGACAGCATCGAGCTTCTCCCTGAGAGGCTTCACAACCTCGACGACCTTCTCGGCGAGCTCTTGCACGAAGATGAGCGAGCCGATGAAGATGTTCGCCGACTCAACGTCCCGCTTGAACGCCTCGAGGGTCTCCGGGTTGCGGAGCTCCTCAAGAAGGTATCCGACAGCCTCCACGCACATGTTTGGCTGCCGAAGCGTCAGTTCCAGCGAGTGAGTACGGTATGGATCACCTGAGCAGCATTGATGCGCTTGCAGGCGACAGTCATGGAGGACTGGTACTGAGACTCGAGAACGACGTAGACGACCTTGAACTTCTTGCGGCCGTTGACGTTCTCAGGAACAACACGACGATCCTCCGGGTTGGAGTTACTGCAAGCCAGTCAGCTCAATGCACCCCTCCTCTTCAAAGTCGGACTCACGTGAAGAAGCCACCGGCTCCTCCTGAAGTAGAGATTCTTGCTTCATCGCTGATCGCCATCTGCAGCGATCGCACAGCATTGTTCCGCAGACGAAGGAAGTTAGGGACTCCAGAGACGGCGGATGACTTGGCAGCACGGAGTTGGATGGAACGGCCGTTCACATAGGAAGGGGTGAAAGCTTGTGCGCATGGAAGGAGAAGCGCCAGCACAGCTGCGAGCTGACACGTTGCGACCCTCATCTTCGTCCTCCTCTACCCCGAGGACTAGACGCAAGCTGGATCACTGACGAACAGCTGACCTGAAAACTTCGCATCAACAAGGAGACACCAACAAAAGGATTCAACTTCAAGCAAGCACACATGCCTCAATCACGGCTGCAGCTAACTTTCCAATCTCATAGATTCTTGCTAGGATGTAATGCTACAATTGTGACGTCTCTCCCAACACATCTGAGCTGTTACGCTCATGGCCTAGCTGTTGTCTGTGACTCCTTGCCTTACCACATCTCAAGACCTAAACTCGCAGTCAACCATGTGAATTGAGCTTTTGACCTACAAACTTTCCAACCTAAAAAACCTTTTTTGCAGATTATGATCCTGTTTCGAGCAACTGGGCTAGGTAGCTCATGAGCAAGGGTTTCTCCCTCAACCACGAGCATAACAATGAAGAGTGTGAGGGAAACGGCTTCCTGCAGAGAAGAAAAGCCTCCTCTGTGCAAACAGCTGCCTGCAGGCACGAGGAGCCTCCTCAACCTCAACTTCAACCTCTGCCTCTGCCTCTGCCTCTCCTTCGCCCTCTGCCTCTGCCTGCTTCTGCCTCTGCCCCTGCTTCTGCCTCTCCTTCTGCCTCTGCCTCTGCCTCTGCCTCTGCCTCTGCCTCTGCTTCTGCCTCTGCCTCTGCTTCTGCCTCTCCTTCTGCCTCTGCCTCTGCCTCTGCCTCTGCCTCTGCCTCTGCCTCTGCCTCTCCCTCTCCCTCTGCCTCTCCCTTCCACGCCCTCCTCTGCTCTTTGAGCCAGCATGGGGGCCGAGACACGCAAGGTGATGGAATACAAGGAAGGGGGGGCACAACGGGGTAGGGGTACCGGGGTAGGTCATGGGTGGGGTGTAAAACTGGTACAAAAGAAGGGTAATGGGATACAAAACATGGCTACCAAGGGGTGGTGCTGTATAGACGAAGGGGGTAGTAGAGTGCGGACAAAAACGTTTCGGCACGGGTGCTCAGAATGTATAATTTAGAATATAAATTTGAAACTATTTGTTATATGTTTGACAATGAACCATATTTTCATGTGATATTTCAGTGAGGTGACAAAATCATGCCCCCCCCTTCTCCGACAGTTGCAGGGGTTGGCCCTCCTCTTCTTACGAGTATCGAGCACCCTCACCCCCAATACTCTGCAGGAAGCACCACCCCCATGAGGAGTACCACCCCTACCCCTGAAATTACAAGTCCTTTTTTTTAGACCCGTACAGTTGCCTGCAAAGGTTTCACTTTTCCTATGGTGGGTATGTCACATGGAAGTTGGGTGGGGGTCGAACTGTATCACTGGGTGGGTTATGTATCCCTCGTTTGGTAGGGTAGTGCAATCACGCCAGGGGTTGGAGGGGTGGTTTGAAGTCCAAATCTCTGGGTGGGTGGTGAATGCTGTGACCCATCGGTGTCCCTTCAGCAGATGGGAGGGATGGGGTGGGGGTGGGGAAAGAGAGGAAACTGACGGGTCCAAAATAATCGAAAAGGGTGGGTGGGGGTTCCAATAGAATTTGAAGCGATGCGAGTACCGACATCTTTGTGGGCGTTGCAACAGTTACGGCACCGTTTATACTTTGTAACGGCTGTCGGAGGCCCAAAGCTCCGGATCTGATTTGTGTGGGGTCACGTGACCTGATGGGGTATAAGGAGAAGGAGAAGAAGAGAAGGGGAGAGGAGGATACTCCCACTAGCACCCGCCTAGGTCGAAAGCGACTATGACCATCACTGAAAGAATCACCTGATCGCGGGGTAGGGGGGGGGTGGGGGCTGACAAAACTTGTCAACTAAAGTCTTGCGACCCATCTGTGACTCATCCGATCCTGCCAGGCTCCTTGGGAGTTCACGCCGCCCGCCCGCCGGTAAATGTGGGCGATGACGCGCCGACACTAGTACCGTCACTGAGTCACGACTACAAGCCGCCGCCTAAGTTGCGGCCCGGCCTGAGTAACTCCCCGGCGGGCGTTGAAGGCTCCGAGTCAGCGTCGGGCGCGGCCCCGGGCCGACCGGCCGGCCGGCCCGGGGCCGCTGGCCCGGCCCGGGCCGCCGCCCCGCCACCGTTACCCGCCGGGGAACGTGCCACCGCGGCCCGGCCGCCGGGACAGCGGCCGGGCCGCGCCCGGGCGGCTGACCGTCCCGTACGGTACCGTTCCGCACTGACGGTACTATAATGATACTATAATACACGGCCCGCGGCCGCCCGGCAGCCGGGCTAGTGCCCCGGCGCCGCGTGACTGGCTGCAGTGACTCGCGGGGGCCGCCGTGCTCAGCCGGCCGCCGTGCTCAGTCGGAGTGACCGTCTAAGGTCCGACTCTTCTCTTCGGATGATGTCACCCGGCGTGGTACCGTCCGAGCTCGGAGTGGAACTCGGAACTCAGCCTGCCACGGACGGAAGCTTGCCGGGTTTGTGACTTTGCCAAGTTGGCCGGGCCGCGCCCGCCGTGTGGCCACAACGGTCACCCGGTCTCCGATCTGCCGCAGTGTGATGCCGTGCCGTGATCGGACGGTCCGAAGCACCGTGGCACGGTTCAAGGGGCCGAACTCAGTGTTGGCAACGGCGCAGTGACGCCGGGTTCCGAACGGTTCGAGTCGGCGCCGGGCACCGGGCCTCACTGAGGCACCAGAGGTGGGGGCACGAATGTCGGGGTTGCGATACGTGAGGCTGAACGAGAGGAGAGGAGGAGCAGGAGAGAGAGGAGCAGGAGAGAGAGGAGCAGGAGCGTCAAGCATTCTAGCATGTCTCCTGGCACTGCATCCTCCTCCTGAGGCCTCTCTCCACAGATCCTCCTCCCCCTCCCTCTCTGTCCATTCATCTAGTCCGTCCAACACTTCCCAGGCACCCCTCAGCACCTCGCTGTCTCCTCGTCCCGTCGACTGGCTCCCTGGCGTCTTTGCTCTCCCGTACGTTGACTCTCCTTCTTCTCTGTGCTGACCTTGAGGTGGTCTCCCCAGAGCATCGATGAAACTCTCCACGTGGGAGCCGTACAAGCAGGGGCAAGTTTACGGCATCGATGCGGCATCAGCAGCTGCAGGTTCCTCCCTCCTCCGCCTCCTTCGCCTTCTGTCTCCCCCCCCACCATCTCCTCTTCTCTTGCTTCTACGCGACCGTCCTCGTCCTTCCCCTATCATTTCCCATTCTCATCCTTCCAATTTCTCGCTGCTCGACTTCAATTTGCTACGGATGACAGTAAGCCATTAGTTCACATCCTCGACCCTCGAGCGGGAGAAATCGTCTTGGATCTCTGCTGTGGCGTCTCCATCTCTTTCGCGTCCCTCTGCTCACTGCCCTCCAGGCGCTCCAGGCGCGAAGCTCTGCATGCTAGCCGACCGAGTTTGTCCGCCCAGTCTGAGTGAGGTGTCTAGTCATACGTTGACCTCCCTCACCCGCTGCAGCGCAAGAACCGCATGGGAGTGAGGCGAGTGAGGATGCGAGTGCGACGAGAGCAGGTTTCGTGGTAGGCGTTGACGTGTCGATGCCAAGGCTGGCAGCCACCAAGACCGTCCTGCGCAAGTGATCTCGTTAGTGTGCTGACCAACAACTCAAGGGGCGGCAGGTACGAGCAGAGGAATATCCGACTCTACCTCGAGGATGGGGCCTCCTTCCTGCCCCCGCGGCCCCGGATGTGCTCCAAAGAGGCAGCCGAGGAGGAGAAAATAAGGTTTCTGCGAAGAATCGCCGAGGCAGATCGAAGCATCGGGAAGAGGAGGAAGAGAAGCGCGAGGGAAGTGCCTGTGCAAGACGCGAAGGTTACGAGGAGGCGCCGACACCTCCTGTAGCCTCACACGTGCTGCTGGGCTGCCACAGGAAGGAGAGGAAGCTCCTGCCCGATACTTCTTCGAGACGCCGCAGGTGAGTCACTGGAGCTGGGAGGAAGGAGAAACTACAGGTGAAATGGCTCAGGTAAACAGTCCCTGCCCTCCCTCCCCTCCCTCCCCTCGCTGCCCTCCTTCTTCCCTGCCCTCCCTGCCCT